GAAGAGACGCAAAAAGAGAAGTAACATTGCTACGCGCTCCGTGACGAGTGACGTGTTGTCGAACAGGCTGCGTTTTAAGGGGCATGAATTGTTCTTAATGGCTGTCGATACGCAAACTGTACGGTGTTATTGTACTTTACGATGCTGTCTATTACTTTAATCGATTGTTGGCAGGACAGAATAAACGCTGACGCGTGATTGTGAGTTGCGATCCTGTATTACGAGTCTAACATTATTTATGCAATCATCCATCGTGACAATGTCGCAATGATCATTCTGCTATATGTGCAAACGTATTCTTGTAATTATATATCTCTATAAGGCGGCGAAATCAAATGTCCCAGCTACACCAAAGTTGTAGCGCAGCCGTAATTTCTCTTGAGAACAAATGAACGAATGCATTACGTGAGATGTCAGATATATTAATCAAATTACACGATGATTGCATAAAGGAAATATTAATTTATTTGCTAGAAGTGTGTGCACCGAAAGAAAAGGTTTCTGTAACTATAATTACGTAGTCAAATATTATGATTAAGAACTCCATATTATTATTATTATCAGTCATAATAATTATATTTATAGTTCTAGATACCAAAAAATATATGGCTGAAATCATATTCTTGTAACATCATAATATTTTAACATACAATTATAGTTATAAAAACTGTTCTCTCAGTGCACGTTTTTAATATAACTTTATTAAACTAAACTTTATTAACTGCATTATTTAACTTTATTATTTAATTCAGTCAATTTTCTAATAAAATTCTTGATGTGTAAGATATAAAATAAGATCATCTACGATATCTTAGAAATCATCTTCCATCATAATAACGAGAATAGTCTTCCGATTGTCCGCGTACCATAAATCAGAGCACTCGCCATAGCGAGCATTCCGTTGACAGAGTGCGGCGAGACAACAACCGGGACCATGAGATCTCACATTGAATTTGTAGCAACCCTTCGCCGAAGAAGTCGCAAACCATTTTCGGACATTGAGCAAACTCCAACGACGTTACCATCTAGGGAAGTGTTAATTCACGAAATGTCACTCTGTCCAAATCTTGTCTCTCGTCTTCTTAGTCTATGCGAAACTATTTAAGAAAACTTTTATTTATGCAACTCATTGTCGATTTAAAGATTAGTATTATCAAAGTGATACTTGTACCTAAAGCTATAATGTTCACACTATGGTTGATTTTCTCCATAATAATTAAAAATAAACACAAATTATACATAGAAATATATAGAAACAAATTGATTTCAGCGAAATAATATTTATCGATGTAATTTAAGAAAGTGTAGGAGGTATAATGCGAGACTATGAAAACACGTTGTGGAACCCATGCGTCGATCTCGTAATATTAAAATATGCGCGGACACGGTGGGCAGACCGGCAGACCACGATACCATCTAAGGTATAGCTCAGGCGTTAGCTCGAGAAGCGACGCGCTTCCGAACCTTTCTTCGTCTACCATTCAAAACGGTCTGAATACGTTCCTTCGTACATTTACGATCCAGATTGTCAAATGATAATCTGAAACATTACAGCTATCATATCTTGAATGCATTATTATTCTTAATCGCTTATATTTGCTAATTTTTTCATTCTCTTTCTTTTTAATTTTTACAAGAGAAAAAGAAATGGTTTTATTGAAAAATTTAGCTAGATATAGTACTGAAAATAATTTTGTTCAAGATCAAAATAATACTGGGCGCTCAAACTATTATAGTTACTAAAATGTTAAAACATTTTACAGCATTATCATTTATTTTATCTGACAAAATTATTTTCAGATTTGTATGTAGCCAATTTTTTAAATAATTTAGCAAAACCGTTCCTTCCGAGCATTATTAATCTTGTGTCTGTCAATGTACATATTTTATAGACATGTTCGAATCTTAATATCAATTACACATTATTACATAAATAAATCTAAGGCGAGTTAATTTCCTTCGTGGAGTATTTTAATGTAGAGTAAAAAAAACAAGAAATATACATGGAAGAGAGAGTTTTATTAGATTATCATCTGAAATGAAAAATAAGGATCGCCCGTTACTCAGTTGCGGTTGAAAATTATCGCTCGTTATCAAGTTGCAGTTGAGAAAATCTATACGAAGTTAGTCTTCACTTTTAGAATTGACATATTTTGAGAATTGTGCTAAGTTTGTGTTACATTGTATGCTCGAATATTAAAATCATGATTTGTTTTTTAAATGTTATTAAAACACGTTTAAAAATAAGAAAAAAACAATTATTTTTAAGTTAATCCCCAATTTGTATTTTCTCAATTTTTTAAATTATGCTAGATTATGTGCTACGTTGTGCTGACATTCAGCATTCGTGAGCAAACGATGAGCAAACGAATGCATGAAGAAAAAAATCGATTTTTTAATATTGGGGGGCCAGCTTCACACGGGTCATTTAACAATTCTAGCTTAGCACAAGTAAACACAACTTTTAACAAAATCCTCGGCACAGTGATATTAAAAGCAAAAGATTATTCATATGTGTAGCCCTTTACGCTCAGCTTTTCTGTCCATGAATAAAATTTGTAGTGCTTTGATGTGAACAATACTGTATGTATGACTCGAAAGGTTTGATTGGCTGATTAAATTTCATATAAACTAGCACAGTTTTTCGCGGATGTAGATAAAGATTCCTTGATATTCGTACCATTCTTGCGTAGACCTCGTAAAGGATTTTTCAGACGATGGATGTCTCGTCAACAAGTAACATGCTCTTCGACTTTACCCCGCGGGATTGTCTTCCCTTTTAGCGGCACAAACTTTTTGCGGGATTGTCACCGAGATGCAAGGTACCGCACGTCTCAGCCTAGTTTGGACACGCTAACCTTGCCGCATACAAATTTCTCTTATTTCATTTGTTGTCCTTTTCGAGATCGCCTTTTCTTTCATTTAGTGTTTTTTTTATCTTGCGTGTTTCTTCTTTTGACAAGTAATTCCGTACTAATGAGTCATCTTTGCTTGTTTTCTATCAAACTATTTCGTTATTTCGGAGTGATTTATATGTATCCAGAAGAAGTATTATTTACGTATACAAGTTTCGATGTGTGTATCTTGTCTCTACATCGAGATATCGCTTTGTTACGTTTAATTGATGCTAATTAAATATTCACAGCACAATCAACAAATCCGGTTCGAATACACACGTAAAGTAGATTATTAATATATTTTCGATATAATATTTGAGAAGTGTCTCGAAATATTTACATAAAATAAATTCAGTAATTGGTTATCATCTCGGAATTCACGAAATGTTTCAAGATTCCAGTTACTAAAGATTCATCAGTAATTGCACATGCAGATTCATTTGCATATTTGAATTAATTAATGCATTGGGGGGACGAGCATAATTTGAATTAAAAACTCGTTCTCGCATATTCCACAAAAATTCACAGCAAAGCACATTAAACTGTAACTGTTTTTAAAGTACATACAGAGCCAGAAATATTGTTCCTATCTCGGCTTTTAAATGCGAATAATGATAATCATAATATTCACACGTTGAAAATGGATATTTAATCGCGGTTTAATCTCACTTAAAGAAGATTTCTTGGAGATTACCCGGAAGCATATATCTTATTGAAACTTGTTAAGATATTTTCGTATTTAGTAAAAACACACAAATTCAACTTATTTGCAGACTTATCAAAAATTAAAATGTCAGTAGTAATATCTTCATTTTTCTTCAAAATGTATTAACATTTTTTTTTCTGTTTAAGGTTCTTGTATAGCATAAACTTGGAAACAACTTAGATAAATATCTCTCACTTTCATCCTTCTCTAAAAATTATAAATAAGTATTATTTAAAAATAATTTAATAAAGAGCTTTGAACTATAAATAATATGTATCTAAATAAAATATACAAGTTTTCTTTTCTTCCCTATTACAAATATTTTTTCGAGGCAATTAGTTCTGATTAAATAATAGGATTATGCATCATTTTTATTTCGAACAACGCTCAGTGAGTTTCTGAAATGATGTTTCAAGCACCGTTTTGATCGCTGAATTCATGAACTATAAATGAATTATCGCGATTGCGATCAATTACTCGGAATTTCAGAATGTAGATTTCGAGGAGCTTCGAGAAGGCGCGACAGCGAAATGACAGTAATTTTGTATGCCTACGTACTTTGTCGACACGGTGACATCGTGTAACGCATGATTAGCGCCGACGACGTTACGTCGCGATGCCATTACCAGCGGGCAAATTGAGTTTAATGTCGCGACTTGGGCGTTACAACCTTGGAGCATACTAAATGATAGAACTGAATAGAGTGCTGGCCAGGCCGTATCTATTAAGTCTTTCGGTCTAGGACAGATAATTTTAAGGTAATCGTATCATCATGTAACCACTGTCGACACAGAGGCGTGACAAGTGACAAGATAATATGACGTAAAATTTTCACTGATATATTAATCCTTTAGCAAGGTTAAAACGTGAAATGACTGCAACTAGCTATTCGTTAGAATGTTCAATAATAAGAGAGACTGGGGACTGAAAATGGTTTTAGAAATATTAGCGATGTTACTGTTGTACCTTGCTACTTTTATACCCAACTTTCTCTAGTCTTAGACTTTAATAAACCAAGTTCATAATATATAACTAAAGATTATATTAAACATTAATGTTAATTAAACAACAGTACATTCAAAATAATTAAAAAAATGGTTATATCATTAACTATGTTTAAAAATTTTAGAATGAAAATAAGACATTCGTCTTTGGAGTCAAAAGCAACGTAAGCTGTCTTCATTCGATCGACCAGCTGTCTGCCGCAGAGCATTTGCCAAAGAACAGTAAGTGTATGTGCGCCAATTGATTTTCCATAAATTTCCTTATCCGATCGAAAAAATATTTTTTTTCAATATTTTCAACACACTTTAAGTATTTCTTTTATTACGTATTCTTAATCTATATTCTCACATGTCATTTTGATGACAGGAGCGACAAAGCTATCGCACTTCACAAATTGGAGCGAATGGTCGGTGTGCGATCGACACTGCATGCAAAATCGCGTCAGAAAGTGCCGATCGAAAAAAGATTGTGGGACCACTGTACTTAAGGTAAATATGCGAACTATAGTAATTACATTTTTAACAATTTTTGATTAACGCGAATTATCGTGGTACAGGAGGAACGTGGTTGTGAACATAACAGAAAGGGTCGTCAAAGACGATGCAAACAGCGCCAACGCCGGAGACGTCGACGAAGAAATGAAAAATTTCACATCGTTCAAGTAAGTCGCGGCATGCGATATTCGATTTTCGATTGCTAATGCGCGACCGTTTTCAACAGGTACCTAAAGAAGCAGAGCCCAGGCATGGAAAGCAGAAAGGCAAGAACAGTAAGGAAAACTCCAAAAGACATTATGGAAAATGGAGTAAATGGTCGCCTTGCACGAGACTGTGCACTACTCAACGTCATAGGTATTACAAAAAATTCGTAAATTACATAGGGTAAAATGGTACAATTTCGAACATGATCTAAACGACGAAATAAAATTTGAATCCAATTTTCAAAGTTCAAGTTTGATTTTTTCCTGTTTGATATTTCTTCATTCAATATTCTCCATAAAATGAGATCAGGATTACCAAACATAAAATTGAATCATTTTATTTTCAAAATTGTATTATTTTTTCGAAATTAATATTATTTATATTATCTATATATTTATTCTGCTTAGATGGTGCAGAAAGCCGGGAATTTGCGGGCGCGATGTGATACGCGAGAGCGCCTATTGCTACGTCGAAGGTAGCTTCTGCCAAAGATGGATCCATCGAAAGATTCGCGGTAGCCACGAAGAAGACGGCGATGGTAAACCTATTCTAACTCGACATTGAATATTAATAAGAAAAACGAGTAGCTAGTTTTATTGATTTTCTAGACTTGGTGTTGGACGAGTTCGAACTCAATCCTAACACCGTGGATAGCTTAGCTCCAGAGAAGAATTTAAATACTTGGAAATGCGGAGTAGCGACTCATAAAGGATCCAGACTATCATATTTCACGCGAATTATCGGCGGCCGTCCGACTGCACCTGGAAGCTGGCCATGGCAAGTGGCCGTGTTAAATCGATTTCGGGTACTTTCGCAACAAATAAACCTCATATATCTATAAATAGCAAATATAAATCCGAAATATTTTTAAACTCTCTAGGAGAAAAAAAAACTTTATAATTGTTTGGACCAAAATTAATTGCTTTTCTTTTTTCAGGAAGCTTTTTGCGGTGGAACATTGGTATCCTCAAGATGGGTATTAACCGCCGCGCATTGCATTAGAAAACGCCTTTATGTTCGTATTGGAGAGCACGATTTAACGGTGAAAGAAGGCACGGAATTAGAGCTTAGGGTACGTGCAGTAAAGAGCAGTCAAGAGCTAGATAGACAATTTTATGCCTCCGCTGATTAATTCTATGACTGCGTAGGTGGATTCGGTGACTATCCACCCAGAGTATGATGCCGATACTGTTGATAACGATGTGGCTCTACTTCGTCTACCAGTTACCTTAACCCCGTCTCCTTCGAGAGGGATTGCGTGTTTACCCACACCAAAGCAGCCCTTACCTACGAATCAGTTGTGCACTATTATCGGCTGGGGCAAGTCCAGCGTTACGGACGATTTCGGAACAGATGTGCTGCACGAAGTTAAAGTATGCAACTCAATTTAAAAAATTTGGCTATTTAATCTTTAGAGGAAGAAGCCACTGTAGTGCTGAAACAATGTTATATTTTAAAAAATATGGTACAATGAGAAATAATGAATTATGATAAATCTTACTTAAAAAAAAGCTGTAAGATTTGAAAAATATACCTTTGGCTTCTATAATTAAAGATTAACAATTTAATATATAATGAACTCACAATCGCAACTGTATACTATAGAAAAATAATACAAATTCAATTTTAGGTTCCAATAGTGTCTCCCGAGACTTGCCGAGAGGTTTATGTGGATTACAGAATAACGGATAATATGTTCTGTGCGGGTTATCGCCGTGGTAAAATGGATTCTTGCGCGGGTGACAGTGGGGGACCTCTGCTCTGCAGAGATCCTCGAAAACCCGATCATCCGTGGACAATTTTTGGTATCACTAGTTTCGGTGAAGGTTGTGGCAAACGCGGTAAATTCGGTATATACGCCAGACTATCTAATTACGTGCGTTGGATTACGAAAGTGATGAAGCAAACGGACGATTAGATTTGAGAAACACAGCAAACGTCATAACTGTATTATAATTGTAATTATAGTGTTCACGTACAAACGAGCATAGAAGTGAAAATATGACAGGCAATCGGGACATAAATTTCAAAGAGTATATCAATAACAATATTAAAACTATGTTTGAAAACACTAGATATGAAATTAGTTATGCTGTAATTTGTTACTGTATCGTATATTTCACTTTCTTCAAAAATATGTTTGTATCGTTTTAAATGTATAAGGCATCAGAGAATGAAATGTAACTTTTGGAGAAATTATCATAGTCAATACGTGTTTATCGGTAATATAAATACGTTATATGATGTATATTACATTTTTCTTATTTTGTCTGTTATTTTGAGAAACAAGTAGCTTATTACGACAGTAACTAACTCATGAGTATGTTCTATTCCGACTCTTGTCTCACATATTTCAATTTTATTAAAAATTTTAATGATTTTCTGTTATCTTTTTTGCTATTATAGAAAAAATAATGAAAAGTCAAATTCTGGTCTACTTATTATTACCAGAATATCTCTATAAAAGAATAAGAAAAGCCTCCAATTTCAGAATAATCCTTTGATGGCTAAGTCATGCAACCATAAAACAATTTTCTCTAAAGTAATGACAGTGATCTGAAATACTAAAAAAGATTTATCTTTTAATTACATATCAATGACTATTTATTAACCCTAATTGATATTCGATAATCCGTACTCGAAATTTCCTTGACTGGTATTCATAATTCCAGTGTAGTTTTTAAATTTTAACACATATATTTTTTATTGAAATTAACGCATTTAAACGATTTTTTTTTCATTTTGAATGTCAAATAAGATTATAACTTTTAAAATTATCATGTGAAAAACATTTGATATAAACAATTTTTCAATGTAATTGAAAAACTGTTTGGGTTAACTGGATTTTCGAATACGATTAAAATTAAAATAATATATTGAGAAAGAAAAATATAATAGTTATATGATTTTTATTCTTAAAATTATATCTATCTTTCATACAATTCTATCTTTTTTTCAAAGGGCTTAATAGAAGCGTAAATACAGAAATTAAACAGCTGTGCAATATTTTTTTTTTTAAGCAAGAAAAGTGTAAAGAAACTAATAAAGAAAGAATTAAGAGAATAATCGAAAAAATATTATTTTGATCGTATTATAGTAGAAAGCCGTATTATCACATAGTCTATCATTGTGCTGCCATCTTTGCAATCGCACCGACCTTCTTCTTCAATGATATGAAAACGTCGAGCATAGAAGATCGCATATTGTAGTATAATAATGAAAAGCGATACATTTCAAAAATATGTATAGTACCGGAATATTAAGTGCGTTATTAAATTATTTTAATTAAATTTACACTTTGAGAAGTCCATTTCGGGATGTTGCTCCATAAATCTGAAAAAAATTCAACAAAATGTAACAATTCATTAATTAATTTAAAATGTACATAGATATTCATATAGAGCAAAGTAAAAACATCAACGAATCTTACTTTTTGATGACATCTTGTTTCTTCTGTTCATCGGATGTTGGAAGTCCTAGTTCCTTCTGTCTCTGATCATACATCATTTTCTCTACGAGGCCTCTTGTCTCTCCATCGAGGTCAGAGAGTTTACTAGGTTCGGGGTTCACTTTCTTCGTGCTAATTTCTGGTTCACTCATTATAACATGTGCCCACCATTGCATTTTGTTTACCTGCAATCGGGAAATGTTAATTTCATCGCCAATTATAAAAAGATTATTACGTCATCAGTACGCCATAAATTAATAAAATTAACTTATAGATATATAAAATTATATCTGCTGCTAATAACGTTTTGTTTTTATCTGTTGTAAATATATATCAACATTTTCATATATTACTAAAATTAAATTATTTCATAATATAATTTGAATGTACTATCATATATGTATATCAGAGATCAATTTCGATTACAATATACTATTTCATAAAGTTTTAAATAAAAATTACAAAGCAGAATCACAAAATACTTACATGATAATCAAACACGAAATTAATTAGTTAAGTGGTTAATTAAACGTCACATTTTAAATATCAAAGAATATCGATATGTCAGATTTGTGTTACCAATAAATTGCGGTAAATCCGAGGATCGGCGAGATCAATCGAAAAAGTGGGTTTATGCGGGTGCAATCGCGTCTATTATGTACACACGACTCACCTTTTCCAGATTAATCAACAATAATTTTCCGTCCTCAATTACCCAAGTAGACTCCTCTAGTTTGACCTCGTGCGGGAAATCCCCAGCAAGAATTGGTGGATGGCCTTTCAGTCCACAGCTTAGATGTTTCTTTGCAATCGACACAACCACGTCTCTCGGTCTGGCCGAAAAGTTTATCTTTAACGGTACTCTAATCTGTAAATGAAAAAAGTGCAACTTGTGCGTTTACATGTTTTCTCGAACTCGTATCATTCACATGTGGTGGCTACGAAACTCGGATGAAAAGAAACTTCGTTGATAATTTGTCATAAAAATAAAAAGAAGGGCTCTATTTAAAAGAAACTATATATATATATATATATATATATATGTATATTTTTTTTCTTATAATTGTTTTTTATTGCAGTAATAATTAATCAATGTAATAAATTTACATTGATTTACTTTGATGCACAACAATTGTATTTCAACTTCGGCAATTCAAATCGTCGCGCAATCTATAAAACTGATAATACTATTTGTATGTTCACATATGACTATTATTCAACATCATTATCAAAGCAGAAGACCTGCTTTGACTAAAAATAACTTTTTTTTCTCTTATTTGTGTTTAACCACTTTTCGGTCTATTTCACTTAATATTGCTTAATATAATGATATGCGAAAACTCCGCATAGATTCTCATGGATAGTTGATACGCCTAAGAAAGAATGGATAGATGGGGAGGTTGAGAATTGTTCTCAGCTTGTTTTTGTCCTTCTATGATTACGATCTCGTTGCAAATCATTGTAGTCCGAATAACAATCTGTGACCTCGAGATCAGATTTCGGAAACGAAAAATCGTAATGACCTCAGAAGAAAACCTTGAACATTTGGAAGGTTCGTGGGGGCACTCGAATCTTTCGAGCTCGATCTGAAAGATGAAAGGTACATTGTAACGATTCATGAAGCGAAATGGCAAAGGTTCAGTATTTCTGGGATACACCTCATTAACCACGAAGAGTACTCGCTTTAATTGATAACAGACATATGCGACGGATCAGATCATGTCTTTGGGTTATTGGCAGTTGAAAAGAGAATCAATAGTAGATTGATCATGAGCGTGAATGATTGCTTTATGTGAAAACATTTGAATTTGGAGTACCGAACAATCGTTTTTCTATCGAGTCATCCATTTGCATGATTATCTGAATCATTATGCCAATAAAAATTATAATTATCGATAATCTCATATCATATTTATTAAAATCAAGACTGCGTAATGTATGCCAACTAGAAATATTGTGATCTTGAATTTCTAATTTAATTATCTTATCACGGACACAGTCATGTATCCGTTTGAACCTTCGCTCTGACGTGAATTATAAAATGAATAGTAAAATTCATTAATACATATTCATGTACCGTCGCGACCAAGTGGTTTCTGCGCATCGGACGTCTCTATATTTCAATTCCAATTTGTGACGGGTAAACAATTCAAGCTGCTGAAGTTTATTACGCATGCAAATCCTGCTGCATTATCTTGAACCTTCTCACGAAATTTATCGATTCACGTTACTCAAGTGACAAGCTAAGGTCTCACGCATTTACGTAATTTTTACGTTACATGGCTCACACAGCTTCTTGTAACTTGCTGCCGCATAACCCATCGCTCGCATCACGATCTTTCCAATTCCGTTTGGACTTAATTAACGTTTGAATTATTAAAAAGTAACATATTTATTTCATGTATATTTTTACTCATTACAATATTTTACGTTACATCGATTTCCAATAAGGAGATTGTAGCGGCTCACACGCGATTATCCGACTCATCTCGCAGTCACTCTCTCGTTCTTGGATTTCCAGAATGACGACAACGATGTGGCGGTGGAGCCGGGTGCACCGGTGCGTGGAAACGGATCATGGCTACCGACTTTGCGCCCGATGTTAATAAAATGGAATATCATTATAAAAGCGGCATCATGAGAAGGCAAGGAAGAAGACGGCTATAATAAAGCTACTCACTTTGTCGAGGTCTACTCTAAGTAGACTGTGACGTATACGCTTTAATAATCTTCAAAACATTTATAGAATATCCGTTATAAAGCCAAAATTCATGCATTATAATTAATCTTCAGTACATATACTGATTTTCCAGGTTTTTTTCACTACATAAGATGAATAATGTCCCGAGTTGATTTTCATCACTTTTACAACTATATTGAAAATAATAAATTATTTTTACACGTACTTTACAACTTTAAAAAATATTTGTAAAGTATTTACAAAGAGGGAAAGAATAGAGGTTATTATTTAATGCTCCTAGCATTTTAAAGAAAAGAAATGCACAAGGATACGAATAATTCAAAGTTTGTGTACGAAAGATTAAAGATGTTAAAGTTCATATTGTTATTTGCTTTTCACAATCGCAATGATACTCCGTTTCTTTTTTAAGCGATTATTTGGCAATATTTTCTCAATGATTTGCTCTAAAGTAATATTGTTATTTTCTTATGTATTCTAATACACCGGCTTTTGTTACAATTAAATTCTAAACAATATTATCGTCGAGTCACAAATGCCATATAAGCGCAGTAAACATTTATAGTTTAAAGATTAGCGTGCAAAGATCAGCTGTTCTTATGTGTATTATGATTAGCAATCACAGCTGTATTGACACAGCTTGTTCATAGGAGTTCTTGTCGAATAAAGAATAGATTATCTCTGATGACGTTATAAAGTATACTTTAAAAGCATACTTTGCGATCAAATAAGATCGTTTCAAATAATCATAGTACACAGATCTTATTGTTCGCTTTCTTCCGCGTTTACTCTCATAAATTATTTTATTTCAAATGTTTATAAAAGATTCCATTAACATATTATTAATTTTATCTTATGCAAAAATTAACTAACACCTATGGTCGATTATTTTTCTAACGTATCATTTTAACGTATTATATTTAAAAAAATTTAATAAGAACAATATTTCGTTTATAAAAAAATTTTTTTTAAATAAATAAAAAGTGAAAGATAGATACACATACACAATTACAGACCATACTAATAATTATTTTATCAATTTTAAACTTTAACAATTTCACAAGGTGATTTAAATTGTTTTTCTTTCTAACAAGAAGAAGCAAAACCAAGTGAATTTGTCAATAATGTTCGGACAAACAAAAGCATAAATACTCCGGTCAATAATATGTTAAGATACAAATTCTCAAAATATAGCATAAAGAAAAATATCGTTTGCTCATTGTTTATATGCATACCATTTTATTGCTATTTTTATCATTTTGACCTAACACCTGCATAAAACAAATGTATTGTATTAATGCTGCTCGTAACTACAAAGCTTGCAAAACGCTTATTCTTACCGCCGTGTGGCATCAAGATTGAGTATGTAAGATTTTTTAAAGATGTGTATGAGTTTTAAAAATAACACGAAGATTGCACATTGTACGAATTCATAGTCTCGAAGTAGTGACGAAGCTCCGTTCGAGACCTCGGCATTCAACTTATTAACGTGAACAGGCGAACGTGACTTCGAAGGTTATTACGGCCGTGCATCGCCTCGTTCGTGAATAACCGATTTATTTGGCACTTCGTCGAAATCCTTGATACTAAAGAATCGGATACATTTTACTCGTTTGTGTAACCGAATAGTTCGTTTATTACTCAGAGTATCGAATAACATGCCTCTTTCCGACGCACGTCAAGATTGACATTTGTATTCGCGATTCGATATCACGCGATATATAAACGTGAAATAAGACTTTTCTATTTAGATATGAGTGATTTCTGGTAGTAGATACGTTAAAATAAAATTAATCGCAATCAGCGGATAATCATACAGACTTAATGAATGAATATGACATCTCAAGAAGACACTAAGGATGATTGCAAGATACAAATAAAAATATACGTGAATAAAATTGACATACTATTTAGATAACTACAAAAAAATAGTTTAGCAAAATAACTACTCTTAAATAACCACTGTAATATAACTACTTTTCAGGATCAAAAATATTTATCCGCTTTTATATTTTATAGTTTGTTTCATATATTTCATCTTTAATTAAAAGCCAATTTTTCGTTTTATTCTTTTATTTCATTGCAGCTTCTGATAGAAATACGTAATGTTAAAGGCGATTAAAATAAATTTTAAAAAAATTTGGTGGATTACGGTATCATCATGTTAGAAAAAGGATACATCTTCATTTATCGACTTGATATTAAGATTACTTTGTACATTTTTAAATTAGTAAAAGCACATTAAAAAAATAATGGACACTGATTATAAATAATATCGAAAAAAATTATCGGAAAGAATGTTAAAGCGTAACAAATTGCTAATTGTAATTTCGAACAAAATAAAAATTTTGCGAAACAGTAGTGAAATATTAAAGAAAAAACGATGAGAATAATTTGTATAAAGATGGCTATTTATATTGACGGATTCCATTTATACCTATTAGCGTGAATAAAGATTAATTCATAAATGCTTATTCTAGAGTCAAATGAACGTGAAGTAAGGTAATAAAGTGCATACAGTAATTGACTCTACGTGAATCTTTAAATATTCATAGATGATAACAGACAGATAAAGGAAAATCTTGTCTGATGAACATGGTACAATAAAAGACTGAGAATAAAATAAGCATTCGAATGTCGTTTAATGTCAATCTGCATGGCTTTACATAACATGTTACGAATTATCATCCAACCATAAAATTATTCTAGTACGTTTAATTATATTTTATTGGAAATTTCCACAGAAATCTTCAGGATATCTATTCTCGATTGACGCAAAAAGATTTTGTCATACTGTCGTAATGATATTGTATTCTATAGTAATGCCTATCGAATGCGGTTAATACAAGATGTTTCTCACGTTGTTAATAACGCAAAATCTGGTATTTAAATTAGCAATTATCCACACAAATGGTGTCTCACGTTTTTCATAATCAGCCTGTTATGGCAAAAGATATAATTATCCCGTGACAGCCGTTTTTACAAAAAACCAAACACTGTTATCGCTAATTGGTTTTTTTATGATAAGACATAAAACGGCGATATAGATAAACATGTAATTTATTACTTCCGATAGATATTATTATATATAGCTCCGATAAGTAAATATATATAATTCGAAAACCTAACTATTATCACTTTATCACTTTTATATATTTCTGTATTAATCA